CATTAAACAGTGGTTATGGGTGATGCTCGATCGGAGTCGATCCGTGAGCAGAGATCAAGTTGGGGCATGCCTATAACAGCTGAATGTGGCGAGTTACGCATCTTGTTCAGCAAACGCCTCACAACTTATTAAGATTTAAAGCTATTGCGCCCCATGCATTTATTGATTCAATGCTGAGTACAGCCTGGGAAGAACATATCGAGGGATGTAAAAAACGTAATGTCACAACAGGACTTTTAGAAAAGCTGTGTCCATGCTGTTTAGTCTTTAGGTAGACTGACTACTGCAATAGTGTATTCAGCAGGGGCTGACAAGAAAAATCAGTTCAGAAAGCCCTGCAGCTTATCAGAACGCAGCTGCCACGTGTCCTCACTAACTATACTTTAAGTATACAGTCTGATGTCCGTCACTAACATTAAAAGACGTGGATCACATCAGTTTCCGTTCTGAAATTTTAAATTGGCCTTCCAGTCGGCCAAAGAATCTAGACTCTGCTCAACCACAGCTTCGCCCGACCTTCATCTCCTCTAGGCGCTTCTCAAATCATCATACAATTGATACAGTCCTATCTAGTTTCTAGCAATAAATGGTCTGTCGACCAAATTAATCGTTGAACTCCTCGCATAATTTACGAGGCCATCAACATCGCTGCTTGCCTCAGGGTCTTCCTGGCGTCGGGCTCGCTGCTTATACGGTTCCGAGAGTAAAAACAAAACATTGAGAAAAGGCAGCATTTTAGCTTTTATGCCCCGACAATCTGAAACGCTACTATTTTTAATCGAGACTAAAAACCTGCTAAAAACATATCTCTTTTGGCTGCCCTTTAATTTAGCCTGCTCATATCGTCTACTTACTAGCAGGTATCTGCACTCAGTGCCGCTGTTTTAAACTATGACTCATCATGTCGGAACCTGCGTGTGTCTATATTTATTTATTCTCTATCGTATCCTTGCCTTTTGTAATGCCTGTTGTTAAAATGCCATTATATGTGTTCTCTACTGTATGTACTCCTTAAAAAGTCTTTTAATTAGTAGTTTCGTGTAAAGCACTTTCTCAATTGCTGTCGCGTACAGAAAAGGCTATATAAAATAAACTTTCCTTGCCTTTGCCCTTGCAGCCAAAACTGACAGGCTCTTCTCCTGTCATTGTTGACCGAAAATACCTACATTCCTTGCCGTCATTACCTGGACCGAATGCTCTCGTTTGCGCGTGTCCCCCTTTCAAATGGACAATCCAAGCCATTCACATTTCCAGGCTCGATGCCAGGGCCAGGAGGGGTTACAAGTGCTGCATTCACTTGCACTCGGACATTAGAGATTTTCTCTCTTAAATGTCCGATGAGCCACAACTTTTTCTTTCAAAACAAAGCTGCCAACTGGGGTGGCAGCTGGGGTGGCAAGGCATTTTTCTGAGGTGGCAGCTGCCACCCCGTGCCACCCCGTAGAACCGCCACTGCATGGATATATTTGCCAGTAAACCAATTGTGTCCATCCCATCCAATGAGAGGAAGCAGCATCACAGCAGTATTAAGTCATCGTCATGAAACAAAAGAGCGGGGGTTGGGCAACAGAGGATCATCACTACTACAAAATATTGATGCCCTGTATCATTTTTTTCTGAGTGAGGTCCAGGCGCTGAAATGTAAATAAATCTATCAGGGCAAGGAGCTGGGGGCTCCAGTTACCACTCCTAACAATCAAGAGGCTTTTCATGCTGCCCTGGAGGGCCATTCCTGTAACGCTAGCACACTGGAGAGAGCCACAAATCATCATCCCGCCCTCTCTCTGTCGGCCTCTCCTCCTCCTGCTGTTTCTCCTTCTCTTGGACTTCTTTCTCCCTTTTCTTCCCTTTCCCCATTCATTCACTCACACACAAACACACCACTGTCCTCCATTTCTCTATTCTCCTTTGACTCTTTCTAGCACCTTTCTTTTATTCCTAATGCTCTTCATCACAATCCCCTCATGTTTTCTGCTCTCCCACAGCTCTGTCTTTATTCTCTCCCCTACTCGCGGCTCTTCACAGCTCCCGAATGCTCTCTAGTGTAGTTCACACTACAGTGAAATGAAAGAAGAGCGATACTTACTACCACATTTATCAATATTTCAAACATGTCTGTTTGACAACATTTCTGTCAGCAACAGAAAAACACCTATTTGCATGTCTTATGTGTAAGACGCACAGCCCAGAATGTGTTGCATACACCTTTATTTATATTTCAAACAGTTCATAATTTTCTCTTTGCATTTGGTGGTTTTTGCACATCAAAGTTAAATCAATTCCTTGTTTTCCTTTTATATTTATTTAATTTACATCCTGAAAAATCTTCCGGTTGCCTTGTTTTCTGAGACGTCTACAAACAGCGATGAAATGTAAACAAGTACATTTACTCAAGTATTTTTATGAAGTACTATTTTGACACTTTTACTTTACTTAAATATTTCCATTTTATGCCACATATACTTAACTACTAACCACTACTCAACTACATTCTGGGGGCAAATAATGTACAATTTACATTTACATTTATTTAACACTCGGTAACTACATGCCATCCTAAAATGTTATCATTCTTGACAAACATGAACATAAAAATGATACTATGTAATTGTTATTGATCAAAACGAGATAAAAAAATATTCTATAATATAATGCTTTAAAAAGAGCCATTCTGCATACTGAGTACTTTTAATACTTGAAGTACACTATGGTGATAATATTTCTATACTTAACATCGTCTACATTCTACTTTTAAGTAAAGGATCTGAGTACTGCAATCACTTTATAAAAGAACAATAGCAATACAGTTTGGCTAGGTTAATGCAATATAATGATTTGGTTAGAAAGGGTTAAAGAAAACACATTCATTGTAAAGTTCAATAGCACTGGCCTTTAGTTCACTATAAATAGGGCTGTTTTAGATAAATGAATAAATACCAGTTGTTTGAATACTTTAGCCTTTTAACAATAAATTACATCTAGCCCACATGCCCCCATGTCCAGAATTTGGAGCAGCAGCAGTGGCTGTTAGGCGTACCTATTGGAAACTTGAAATGCAAACGTTTTGTACAGTCACATCACAGACTGAATGAAAAGCAGCTAAAACTGAACATTTGGAAATATGATAAACAGTTTTTGTAAAGGACGACTAGATATGAACTTGTTGAGTAACCCTAAAAAACGTTCTAATTTTCCTACAACAGATAATGGAGGAGATTCAATGAGAGAGGCGAGCATTGGAAAGGCTTATCATGGTGAAACCGAAGGCAACCAAGGTCTCATTCAGAGTGTGTAAAGAACAGGAATATAACTTTGAAGAAATCTCAGAATAGACATGCTCAAGGTAAGGTTAAATGCATGTACAAATATGGCAACATTATAGTAATTGTGTGTAGAAATGCCCTTCTGTAAAGCATTCATTTGAAAATGGTCAACACAATGTTGAGTATAGAGCAGGGAAAAAATATATCTCGAAATGATTTTCAGGTAAAGAAATAAAGCATATGATTGTTACAAAATTAAATATTTGACTGGAAATAATGTAGAATGTCTTAAAACTATACAAGATGAGATGCAAAAATGGGCATATTTATTTGATCCTCCATCAGCTCAACTCACCAAATGTTCCAGTGCCAGGTCTGTTTTGTACCGTTTTCCACACACTACTCTTTTGTGAGGGAGAAATGGATTTGCTTTTAAAGACAGCATGCTCTTTTGAGAGGATTTGAGGAGATGTGGGTTAGGATGAGGAGGTTTTGTTCGGAGGTAAGAAAGGAGGTTTTCGTAGCCATTGAGTAGCTGTATTGATCGCCAACTTCACAAACCCTCTTCACACATTTTGTCATTAATTAGGGTGCTAAAAGTCTTACTTGCTGCACATTTAAGCATTATGAAGAGATACGAGTTAGATGAGGATACCATTTTATTTCCAGCCTTCACACAAACACATGTAGCTGCTCCTGAGATTAATGATGCTATCTTTGTCCGCTGATCAATGATGGCCTGAGCCTGGCACTGATCGGTCTGGCTGACACTCTGCCTGTTCTGTTCGGACCCACAGAGGCCGGCTGGGTCACACAGGTCACGGCCACAGTTTGGACTGATGCCACCAGAGGTTAATATGCATCGAGTAAACATGAAATCGTGACACCAGAAGAGATAAGACACATGGCTGCTGGATTATTTTTCTGAAAATCAATGGATGGGGAAGCCGAGTTGGAGGCTGTTGCCACTGTTGGTCACTTGAAATATGTGCAACATAAGATTTTATTATACAATGATCAACTAATGGATCAAAAAACTTGGGACAGAATAATTCCTGTACAAATGTTTAGATATTTTGCCTTAAGTAATCAAGTAGTCTGCTTACAGGTATTTTTATTCACATATTGAATAACAATTCTGCAACACATTGATAGCCTGACATTTATTTTCAGGCCTCACATTTAGAAATGCTATTGTACATTCACCAAATGAGGGTTTAATAACTTGTTTGCACTATCACAGTACCACATTTGTTAACAGCACATTACTGTCTCTGGTTTTACCCAATTCAAATTCAAACTTAAAAGTAAAACTTAACTTAAAAGGACTGTACTTGAAATCCTACACAGTACAGTAATTAAAAATGTTTCATGAGTCAATCAAATATCCTGAAAAGCAAAGCTTTCCATTTCATTAGCTGTTATGAATGAAATGTTCAAGGTTCAAGGTTTTTATTTTGTCATACGAACATAGCTTCAGTGTAGTTATGCCAATGAAATTCTTAGGTCACAGGCTTCTCCAACAGTGCAACACAAAACACAGATAAACATACAAATATAGTGCAAGTAAATAGTAAATGTGTGCCCATGCTGAACAGAGCCAGAACCTCCCTACGGTCCAGACATCCGGAGGTCGTAGCAGCAGGGTAGGGTGGAGGAAGCACGTCTCAACTTTGAGCGTGAACCAACCTTGGAGAGACGTGGGGTACTGAACGAAGCCAAACAGTTTCTCTTCAGTGCCTACGACACCATCAAAGGGGAGGAACTGATGGAGAGTGTGCGAATAGTGCAGGCAGCGCAAGGTGAAAGGCAATATGGGGAGGCCTGGAGGGTCATCAATGAGATGACTGGGCGGAAGAGGTCTAAGGAGGGACAGGTTGAGGGACACAGCCCCAAGGAGAGGGTGACGACCTGGTTCAACCACTTCCAAAGCCTGCTGGGCACAATAGCGGATGGAGCTGAGGAAAGTATACCAGCTTTCCTCCAGAACCTGCCCATCGACGATGGTCCCTTCACAGTGAGCTTGCCAGGGCGAAGTCCACAGTGAGAGAGGGCAAAAGTGCTGGGCCGGATGGCATACCCCCGGAGGTCCTAAAGTACTGTGATCTCGATGACCTCATCCGAGACTTTTGCAACCTCGCTCTACTGCACAACATGCAGCCTGATATATGGTCTCTCTCCAACATCATCCCGGTGCCTAAAGCTGGAGACCTCTTAAAGCCAGACAACTACCGAGGCATCAGCCTGACATGTATCACCGCAAAGGTTTACAACCGGATGATACTGAACAGGATACGGCACGCCATCGACCCTCACCTGAGGGAGAACCAGAATGAGAGGGGAGAACCACCGCAGCCCAGATCTTGGCGCTAAGGAGAATGATCGAGGAGGTGAAAAAGGATAACCTGACTGCTGTACTGTGCTTTATCAAATTCAAAAAGGCATTTGACTCGATCCACAGAAGCACAATGGTGAAGATCCTTGAGGCCTATGGTGTCCCTCCCAATCTACTCCGGGCAATAGAGACCATGTACGCAGGAACAAGGGCCAGGGTGGTGACCCCAGATTGCAACAGCGAGGAGTTTGACATCCTGGCTGGGGTAATGCAAGGGGACACCCTGGCCCCCTTCCTCTTCATCATGGTCCTGGATTACGCGCTCAGGAAGGCCATCAGTGGACGAGAGCAGGATCTTGGCTTCACTGTAACACCAAGGAGGTCGAGACGACACCCCACAGTAGTCCTGACAGACCTGGACTATGCGGACGACATCAGCCTGCTCTCCGACAGCGTGGAGCAAGCACAGGAACTCCTGAACAGAGTGGAGTCAGAGTGTGCCAAGGTTGGCCTGAGGCTAAACACCAAGAAAACTGAGGTTATCACCTATAACATCTTACCGGAACATCCACCTCTGACAACAGAAGGCACTGTGCTTAAAGAAGTCAAGGACTTCAAGTACCTGGGCTCATGGGTCAACTCAACCGAGCAAGATCTTAAGGTGAGGAAGGCACTTGCATGGAGGGCCCTGAACGGCATGACCAGTGTATGGAACTCCAACCTCCCCCGTCAAATCAAACTCAGCTTCTTCTATGCAACGGTAGAGTCTGTTCTCCTCTATGGCAGTGAATGCTGAACCCTGCAAAAGTCTCTAGACGGATGCTACACCAGAATGTTGCGAGCAGTACTTAACATCAGCAAGAGTGTACATTTAACCAACAACATCCTGTACGAGGGAATACCAAGGGTGAGCGAGAAAATTGCAGCCAGGAGAATGAGACTAGCAGGACATTGCCAAAGGCATCAAGAGCTGCCAGCCGGCAAATTGGTGCTGTGGGAACCCACGGGCATCGGTCACGAGGACGTCCCGCACAAACATACGTGGACGTACTCAAGAACGACGCAGGAGCAATGAACTGGCCAGATGTATGGAGAACCGGGATGACTGGAAGCGACGATGGAGGGCTCATCTGAGGACGACCTAGAGAGAGAGATATTAGCTCAATGCGTTGCTATTCAGTTAAGACATGGATTGGTATTTGACTGATATGAAACTGTGATTGCACTTTTATTTACTTCATGTCTTAGATTAGGATCACAAAGCTAGCGCAATACTACACTTACTTTGTTTAGCATTTACCGGCTGTTTCGATGTCCCCTTTGCGCTTGGTACACCCGTCTGGTCCGTGTCCTTTAAACACTCCAGAGATCCTCCACACGAAAGGCAAAACCGTGTCACTTGTCCCAGGTTGTTTCCACAAAACGGACAAAACATGTTTACCGAGCGTAAACACACCATAGACTGTATATGAAACACACTCGTACCTTCGGTCTTTCCGCCAAAACAAATTTAAATTTGAGCCAATCACGTCACGTTACGTCACTTCCGGTATGATGCACATTCCCTTTCCGATTTGATTCTGGTTTGTAAATGTGTTTCGGGAAATGTTAAAGTGTTTCGGGAAATGTTAAAGTGTTTCAGTCATGGTAAAAGTGTTTTGCATTTTGTNGAACAAAGCCAAGGTGCTTTAAAACTGCATAAACATCTAGGCCAGTAGGCCTACAACAAAGTAGTGTAAATAAAGACTGTAACAGCCAGGCCTTCAACAACAACTTGTTGAAGGCCTGGCTGTTACAGTCTTTATTTACACTACTTTGTTGTAGGCCTACTGGCCTAGATGTTTATGCAGTTTTAAAGCACCTTGGCTTTGTTCTGAATGCACTTTGTTGTAGTTATCCTACAGAGAAAAGAAAATGCACTTGACTTGGAATTAATGTACTGTATGCATTCAAAAGTGCTGAATAAATGTTTTATGGACCCATAATAGTGATTATTATTCGGTTTTCGGCCAACTGTTTCCTATTTTCGGTATCGGTTTCGGCCAAGAATTTCCCATTCGGTGCACCCCTAGTAAGAATGGATGGATAGACGAAGAAAGGAACGGACAGGTGGAGAAGCAGACAGGCTGCCAGACGTGCACTGCCACTGATTGTTGTTCTATTGACCATGTGATTGGTCAATACATTGCTCCGTCTGAAATATTATCTACCACTATCAGGTTGTCCTACGTCTTCAAAAGCAAAAAAGCCCCCCCAACGAAATTATCCAATATATGCACATAGCTTTTCACATGTCCAAGAATAGCCTTCCAAATGTTGCAAGTTTCTTACTAAAAAAAAGCTCAATCCTTCCTATACAGTTCAATCCCTCTTCATGTTCGGAACAGCAACTGCAATATCTCGGTCGAGCGTCTGCATACAGAGGTGCACAGCTTCACTTACTCCCTCTTTTACCCTGCATCGCTGTATTTTGTGAGTGTGTGTATGTGTGCTTTCACTTCTGTCAGTCCACTTAAGGGCCTTTGGTTTCAGAGGAGGCCATTGTATTTCCTCCATCGCCTAGCAACCATCACCAAGGCCGGCACTCCATTGTTGCGGAGGCTGAGCACCTGAATTGCCTGCTGCCTGTTTCTACTTTTCCAAATTGTACTGTAATTTCACAAAGTGGTGTTTCAGCATTAGAGAGAGAGGGAGGGAGAGAGAGAGGACCGTGCCCCAAATTGGAGGGCTATGAAAATCGGGGGAAGCTTCCTTTTGGTGGTCTCACATCAGGAGCTGTTCACATTTGCAAAAGACACAAAAAGTAGTGGAGAAACATAGACATTCAGAGCATATTGTACATTCAGCAAAAGGAAAACATGCACTTTACAATGATTTTTGTTGTCTCTCTGTGTGTGTGTGTGTGTGTGTGTGTGTGTGTGTGTGTGTGTGTGTGTGTGTGTGTGTGTGTGTATGTGTGGAGAGAGAGAGAGAGAGAGCAGAGAAGTGGAGATGCAGAGAGAGAGAGAGAGAGAAAAAAGGAGAAAATGGGAAAAATATGAACAGAGCAACATGTAGTGGGTGGGACTTGAGCGTTGAAAAGGGTTGTGGGCTAGATTTTTCTCAGTGACGTCACTTTTACACAGTTTACTTGAATAGCACCTGTGTGCATGGGGGCTGTCTGTCTGTCAGTTCTGAGTAAAAACATAACCCATGCCAGCAAAACTATATCTATCAGCGTTCACCACTGGTCATTGGAGACAGCCTCTGGCTTTTTTTCCTCAGAGGCCAACATCGACTGCCCTCTCTTGCTCCGCTGGGTGTTAGAGATTGGCCCCTTCAATTCTTATTTTCTCAACCCCTAAGTATTTTAGCGTCTTTTCCGCCAGTCTACAAAAAGTATATTTTTAAAAAAACCTTTTTGATAAATTCAAGTGAGTTTCATTTGATCTTTTTATTACAAAGACTCCGCTTTTCTTTGTGCAGTGAAAATTGCTCTTTTGTGTGCACCTGCAATCGACGCCCTTGTGGATGACCCCAGGTGCCCAATTCAGAAATGGTAAGTGGCAACAATTTTAACTTCAGAAAGATCAGTGTGTCTCTCATTATATTGCAGTTATTTTCATTGTTTCGACTGAGATAAACCGATAACATATATATCGCCCTTAGAATATTTTTGTTTTTGTCCTGTATATTTAAAAAAGAAAAAAAAATTTAATCTGAAAATACATTTCCCCTATATTTAATAAATGTCCTGCCATTATCTGTCAATGTCAGCCACTATCTCTTATTGATTTTCAGTTGTGCAATTGACACATTCTTTCTCTGCATGTCTGCATTTAACATCAACCTGTCAATGGATCCTGCAACATCTGGTTGTTCTTAGCCATTCTTGTATAAATCCTTTAAAATGCACATTTTGGTTTAAAAACCCATGCAAAAATTCCTAAAACAGACACACACACACACTATACTGACATTCTTTAAATGTGCGCACACACAAATACGAGCAAAATCACACACACACTCGCAGATCAGGTTTCATTGTGTCTGTGCTGCCACACACACAAACACACACTCACACACACGGTTGTCTGCGTGAGACAGCAGCCGTGTTGGCCGACATGCTATCAAGTTTCAGAAAATACTCACAGCATCTTCCGCATTCATGTTCAGTACTCACACATAGGAATCACACAATGAAATTCTACATGTAAATGTCCAAATAATTACACACATTACTAAGTGGCATAAATCTTTTATTTAGATTTGTTTATTTCTTTTTATTCTGTAACAAGAAGGCAAACTATGTTTTATTTGATATAAAGCAAGAAAAGGCTGATCCTATACAAGCAAGTCTAATTTATAAGACAAAAATAAAATGTTTCTGATATAAATAAAGCATTTAATTTGTCGATGTATTCACTGCTACATGTTTCCATCTCTGTAAAACTGTATGTGTCCATCACTGTCGCATGTGTCCAGCTATAACATTAACAAAATGGCAAAGTGCCATGCAGAAACAACTGACTGTAAGTCTTGGCTCAAAAGCTGACTTCAGACGTCCAAAACGCTATTATCAATGTTAAATTATTGATCATTATTGACAACGTTACGACCTTACCTGGAACCTGTAGACTTGATAATGTGGAATTAAGTGCAGTACATGCAAGCAAGAGAAATAATAAATGAATGCAGTACTTTCAGCAAAGGGGTTGGGAAAGGATAGATGG